AAGCATAATGAGCACGCATTATGTTATGCATTCAAACAAATTATTCCTATTCGTATGCATTTTGCGATCTCAGTGTACCATGCATGCAATCAATTTTCCTGACTAAAGAGAATTGTGCCAAGCATAGTTTTTTTTTGCGTGAAAATTTTCGTGAAAGGTAGACTCATTCGAACGTGTTCACAACAGAGTGTTCACTCTCGGAATGTCTCACACCATCGACACAATCTTCAATTTCCGGTGTAACGTCAAAGGAAGGAAGAAATATGAGGCGGCGCACAAATTTCGTCTCACATTCAGCTATATTCTGTGCTCGTGTAATCCTCGGTTATATTATTTGTAAGTGCAATGTGTACGTTCAGGCGGGAAACTTTCCGCGCTTCAGAGATTTCGATGTTACATTTTCTTTCCTGCATCGTCTTCCATGATACATTCCTCTCTGGTTTTCTGAATTTCTGAATTTCTGAATTCATATTCCATCCATCTTTCGACATTAGTTCTACCTTCGTTATCACATTTCCATTTTCACATTTCATTTCGGTCTTCTCCATATCACATAACACTTCATATCAAATCGGCTGAATTTGTGTTCTAAAATGAGTGCGATGAAAGTTCATGTGTTGTTTACGGTGCGGGACCGAGGAAACAACGGATTTTTAATTATCCAATCTTTATTGCTTAAGCATGTTTGTTTTACGCTTACACGAGTGTTCCTAGCCATTCTTGATCAAATGATTTATCGATCTTTTTTGTTTATTTCTTGTTTTTCATCACACGCAAACAGGTATATACAGAAAAGAAATGGGATTTTGATGAGTTTCACGTGGTTTGGTAAGAATTTGGTTCAAATGAAGTTTATTTCGGTGGGACTGTGGTCAGATGACATGGAACTAAATAGTTATTCATCATTGTCTTTGTATTGCTTGTTGTCAATTGCTTGCTTTCCCCAGACGCGACTACACAAAAGTTCCAAATTTGCTCCATTGTAAATTGAATCAACGGATTTCAAATGCGATGAAATAAGGGGGATAATAACAGTTTCGACAATTATTACCACCTTCCCCAGTAAATTAACTAACGAGATCCCAATTGTACGCCTTAAAGGTTCATGAGTTATAGAATCCAATGATGGCGTTAGAAAGAGATGCCCGATTTAACCAAATCCTGTTGTGGGTGTTTTTTTGTCCTGTTCGTAAGAACAATCCAGAATAATGATTCTCCAAAGGAATACCTTAAGTGGAAGGTGGTAAAAGAGCTTTGGGAATGGGAAGTTGGTGCAAATTCAAATGATGTTGCTGAAAAAGAGAAGACTCAATAGAGCTCTCAATAGAATTGGAATATCGGTGCCAAACTAATTACCAAATGCGTGCCGATATAACCGAGTTTGCTTCTATTAGACAAAATATTCCGGATCATTCTGGCCTCTGGAGTTACGTACAACCATTCATCCTAAAATAGTCTTATTGTGCGTTTGAAATAACATCATTGTATTTGAGATAATAGAACAACTTGTATGTCCGTTATGGTTAGAGAATAAGGATTCGATTTCGGTCCATTGGGACCTTTTGATTGTGTGAATAAATTTTTTTGAATTGATAGATTGGATAAGGGCAAATTGACACGGTGTTTGATTCACATGGGGTGTGAGAAGGGTAAACGTTTTGAAGTGTGCTCAAAAAGAGAAAAATGAATTGATTCCAACATATAAGGTTATCATTGCATGCCAAAGGGAGGCACAATAACCTGACCGTGTTTATCTTCATCGTCGGCATCTACCTCGTACAAGTACTTCACACACAAAGTGGGGGAGGGGATTTTTTTTTTTTTTTTCTTCATTGAATTAAAAAAAAAAGAGAACCCTTAAAAACGCACGGTAACAATGTCAACACTAACTTTGATCAATTTATCACCCTCCCACACAATCCTCATTTGCCAAAACATTTTCACCGATCGCTACTTTTCCGAGCGAACATCTCGCCAAAAATACCTTGCACCGTAACCTTCATTCATGGTACAGTGTGTTTGCGTAACGGGGACTTCTTGCGCCCTCCCAATGTCAGGTGTCATCTGTCTGCTCACATTCTTCTTGAGTTGATGCTTAGTTGTACGATACCAGTTATGGACTTGTTGCATATACGGACTACGCTAAGGGAGAAACTATGTTTATTATTACCGTTGTTATTATTATCATTTTAATTAGACCAAGTAGATGACCAATGACTATCCATACGACCGTACAATGAGCGGTGTTTTATGATTCCATCGGGAAGTTCTTCTGTCCCTAGCTCTTTTTTTTTTATTAAAAAAATTTTTTTCCTTTTTTTTTATTATTATTGAAGAACGTCACCAATGTAGATAGGAATTCGAGTTTCAATGGTGGCACTTTGTGCGCTAGCGAATTCGGTGTACTTTCATGTGCGAATGTTTACAATTGTTTGTGTCCAATAATTGATCATCCCGAGAACTATTCGAACCGGTATTCCTATCTCGATCTTCCCCGAGAATTAGTTATTCCTAGAACTAATTATTTATAATTACGCTTGTCATTTGACACATCATATGATCAAGGTTCAATAAAGAGATTGATTGTATCCAACGCTTTCATCGTAGGTAATATTTGTGTGATGACAAAAAAGGTATCACGCGTGTAACTCGCCGCCGCGATCGATAACTTTCCAAATGGAGCATCATAGCTCATATACACACAATATCCTATAACGCCTAAACATCTGAAAATAAATAATAAAATAAATAATAAAATAAATAATAATAAATAAATAAATAAATAATAAAAATAGCGATCTTTCCATAATTTAAAAAAAATAATAATGAAGTAAAGTCACGTGGACGATTCCATGAGCTAGCTGTTCCTCTTCATCCCTCCCTCCACCTCGTTCAACCATTAAATATTAACTAATTGAAACTAAAGGTGAGAATGAGGGAGGTGACGGATTAGTCTCTTTCATATTTTCCTACGGGTAACCAATATGCGTTGAATGCTTTTTTTTACTTCAATAGCGCTCTTCTTTTTTGTCATTTTCGCCTCCCCTTAATTGTCAAAAACAAAGTGGCTTTCGTGCGACAAACAACCATAACCGGCTGGGCTCCAAAGATGCCAGGTGATTATTCGGGGATTCGGGTGATTTCTCGAAGTAGAAGGTTTTTAGAGTGTGAACAATATGAAATGAAAAAAAAAAAAAAAAAAATTCCACAAAGACGTGCACACACGAGATGAATGAGCTTTAAAAGAGAACACGATTGAAACTCGAAATCGGAGTCACGTCAGAATAGGTAAAATTTATGTGCGTGTGAAC